CCCGGTGGGGGCCCTGCCCGTGACCCTCACTTATCTGGGGACATCCTGGGGCTTGTGGTTCCTGTCTCTGGGGAGCCACACAGGTGGGAACATGCAAAAGGGGTGCAGGCCACGCTGGGCAACAGCCCAGGACTCCGACTCCACCTGGCTCCTGTACCCATGGCCACTCCAGCCCCAAGTGCCAAGACTGATGACGATACCCGGATCCTAGCTTAGAAGCTGCGCTGGGATCCGGGCTCCTCCCACACCAGCTCAGCGCCTTAGGGCCAGGCCTGTGCCTCCTCTGAGCCTCAGGTGCCCAGCTCTGAGCAGAGGAAGGAGGGACTCAGGCCTCCCCACAAAGGCACAGGCCCGTGAGGACACTGCAGTAGTCCTAGCACTGGCCCCATGGCGCCCAGCCCCACACGTGGGCACCCACTGCTCTCACATGTGTGTGTACGCACCTGCTGGTGCACCTCCGCTCTGCTCCCACACGTGCACACGGTTTGTCCTACACAGACCCAGGCTCGGTGCCTCTCTAAATGTGCGCAGACACACACACACTCCCATTCTGCTCACGCTTACACACACACACACACACACACACACACCAAACCAGTGCCTTTTTGTAATGTTGGGTGACAAAAATCTTTACAGTCACCCCCGGTAGGGTGGTCAGATGAAACACAGGATGCCCAGAGAAATTTGAATTTCACGTAAATGATGAATAATTGTTTGGAATATATTTATGCATGGGACTTACACTGAAAAGTTAGTCATTGTTTATCTGAAATTCCAATTTCGCTGGGTGTCCTGTATTTTTATTTGCTAAATCTAGGAGCTCTACCTGCTGGGTTGTGGAGGCCCCGAGCTACCCTGGGGTCCCCCGGACGCTGCCCAGGAGGTGCACTGTGCACGGCTGAGCCCCCAGGATCCCAGGGCTCCAGGAGACTGCCAGGCTGAGGAGGAGGTGGTCAGAGTGGACCCCACCCAGTCAGCCTACCTCTTTCTGGCTCAAAAGGGGCAGGGGGAAGCAAAGGCCCTGGGGCTGGCAGTCAGGACCTGCCTGGTGTCTCCTCTGGGGTTTTGGGGAGACCCCATGTACGTCATAGGCTGAGAGTTGCCCTGCAGAAGACTGGCTGGAGGTGGGACGCCTCTGAGAGGGCCGGCTCCCTGCACCTTTGGCCTAAGTCTTGCCAAGCCCCCTCCATGATGGCTGTGGGAAGCGGGCCAGCACCCGTCTGTTCCCGGACCCCTACTGAGCCACAAGAAAGGCTGAACTGCAGGGGTAGGAGGAGAGCAGGGAGAAGGGGAAGCCGGGAGCCTGGGCATTGCAGGACGCTGCCCCCACTACCTCATTTCCTGCTGCCTTCCTTTTTCAGGCCAGCACATCCCCGCTCTGGGAGCCTCAGGCTGGCCCGGCCCCCCAGGGCAACCCTGAGCCCCACTCCCAGGCTGGCCACCTCCCCTGGCATCCTTTGCGGGGATCGGGAAGTATCCTTGCTCTGGGCCCTGCCCCTGCTGCCCACCAGCTCTGTCTGGGTCCTGGCTAGACCTGCCCCCCGCTGACCGTCACTGCCCCAGCCTGGACCACGCTCCGGAAGGACGGAGGAAACCGGCCTCCAGCAAGCGGGGCAGGCGGAGGAACCGGGGCCAGGGCCCAGGCTTCCTGCCTCCCTGCTTAGCCAGTCCCTTCCACCCCGGGCCAGGTCGGGTCTCCCTCCTGGAGGCAGGCGAGACCCCTGGGGCCCCGGGAAAGGCCCAGCTGGGCCCCCAGCACCTCCAGAAGCTCAGCCTGTAAACAGGGTTATTCTTGAGGAAGATAGGAATTGGCTATCTGGGCTGGTGGCCAGCCCGCGGCAGGACAGGGCTGAGGCCTGAGAGCCAGCAGGCTGGGCACAGAGGTCCTTGCCCTTCCCCCATTCCCACCGGCAGCTCCCCACCCCCCCCCCCCCCCCCCCAGTGCAGGCCTGGGGCTTGGGTGTGTCTGGAGGGTCTCCAACCCATCCTGTTCCAGGGGGTGAGGATGTCGATTGATTGAACACACCTGTACGCACACAAATGCAAGAGCTCAGATGTTTCCAGCTAGTGTTGTGTACGTGTGTGCACGTGCACGCATGGCCCCCACCCGCGTGGAAGGGCCCGAGTGTGCACCAGGGCCCCTCCCACCGCTCACACAGTGTCTGCTCCCCTCACCACCTCCTCATGTACGGGGCGGGGGATTGTAGGACTCAGGTCACCCTGTGTGCAGAAGAAGGGTCTCATCTGGAGTGATCCTGTCCCCCCAGGGGACACCGGGCCATGTCTGGGGACATCTGTGGTTGTCACACTGGGGGTGCTCCTGGCATCCAGTGGGTGGGGCCAGGGATGCTGCTCAACCCCCCACAGTGCCCAGGATGGCCCCAGTGTCAGTATTGCCGAGGGGGAGACCCTGGGTAGAAAGACCCCAGAGGTAGGGGCCATCTTCACATCTCTGAGCTTCCTGTCTCCACACCTGCAGCCTGGGGCCCACGAAGGGACCACGTGTTCGGGCTTTGTGAGGGGAAGCAGCCCCTCTGAGGGGCGCCCAGGGCTGGGCCCGGCTTCTGGCTCTGGGAACACATCTGCCCCAGTCGGCCGAGCTCCCGAATTAGGCCCCCGGGACCTAGAAAGACGGCACTGGGGCGAGACCTCAGTTCATTTCTGTTCCCTGAGGTCAGCCCCACGTGAGTCTGCACATGAGGACAAACACTGCTAACACCCACAGCAGGACGCAAAATAGCTAGACGCCGGAAAATGGGTCCACTTACTGTCGTGGGCTGAACCGTGTCCCCCAGGAAGAGATGTCCATATCCCAACCCCCGGGACCTGTGAATGGGACATTTGGAAATAGGGTCTTTGCAGGTGTAACCAAGTTAAGATGAGGTTGTCCTGGAGTGGGGTGGGCCCTAATGCAATGACGCGTGTCCCCATAAGAGAGGAGACACAGAGACACGGAGAAGATGGCCACGTGAAGGTGGAGGCAGGGTTCAGGGTGATGTGTTTACAAGCCAAGGATTGCCGGCAGCCACCAGAAGCTGGGAGAGACAGGAAGGATCCTCCCCTGGAGGCTTCGGAGAGGTGTGGCCCCGCTGTCACCTTGATTTCAGACTTCTGGGCTCCAGAAAGTGAGAGCACAGATTTCTGTTGTTTTAGGCTGCCCCGTGTGTGGTAGCTTGTTACAGCAGCCTCAGGAAGCTCATACACCTACACAACCCCTCTATGCTCGCGCGCGGACACACACACGCGTGCACGCTCAGATGCATCCCCTCTCAGCAATACGCAGTGAGCACTTCCTGTGCGAGTGCTGGGCCGGCAGCGGACAAGGCTGTGCTCTGGTCCAGCTGACCTTCTGGGGAGGGGCAGTGGCCCATCTGTACCCACCCACCATCCAGAAGCGCATGCAGACCTGCAGGTGACCACGTACACAAGGAGAGAGGGCGCCAGCCTGCCAGGCAGGAGTGGGAGGGGACAGCCAGGTGAGGAGAGGGGTGGGGAGGATGAGGAGGGAGCCCGAGGCTTCCCCGGGGCAGGCAGGTCTAGCAGCCCCACCCCAGGCACCTGGAGCCAACGTGTGTGTCTACACACACACACACACACACACACACACACACGCACACACACACGCACGCACACGCAGGGACAGGCTGGGGAGTTCCCTCCAGGTTCCTCCAGGACACCCCAGGGCTGGCTGAGGTCAGGCCTCCCAGCTCCTGTGGCCTGAGCTGCAGCCTTGGGGGCAGCATATAGAGGCCGGCCCGCTGGGGGATAATTGGGGGTGGCAGATGGGCAGCCTCTGCAAGGACAGCTGGGGTCTGGAGGAGAGAGGGAGGACAGTCCACACCGCAGGCCTGTGCCCCGAGCACGGGGTCTGAGGACTTTGCACCACGGGGCTGCAGGGACAGGGAGCTGGCCAAGCTCAGGATGGGGTGATTTGATCCAAGCCTGGGTGGGGGGGCCCAGCCGAAATGGGATTGTGTTTTGCCTCCTGGCCTGACTGCCCCCACCCCTTGGCCTTTTATCCCAACAGTCTGAGACTGAGGGAGGGTCCTTCACAGATCTGTCCTCACCCCTACTGTGGTCTTCCCTGCCAACAATGGGGTGAATTCTTGGAGAGCTCCCTGGGGGAGGCGGCTGGGCCTCAAAGCGTATTCGGGTGCGCCTGCAGAATAGCTGGGGCCAGGATCCGGAGCGGCACGGGGGAGCATGGCAGGTTCTAGAGCTGGGGCATCGCCCAAAGGAGTCAGTGCATCCTAGGCTCCAGCAGACAGACTGGGGTTGTTGCCAGAGGGCAGGGCCCCGCTCAGGCTCAGCGCCAGGGTCCCGCGGGCCTCCCCGACGCTCAGGCAGCTCCTCCCGCCTCCGACGGAATCCTTCCCGGGTCCCGCACCCGAAGCCCCGCCCCTCGCCGCACCGCGCAGGCGCGCGGACAAGCCCCGCGGCCGGAGCGCGCAGCCGCACTCGGGCCCGGAGAGCACCTC